GCTTTTTTTTTGGCTAAGATCTTGAACGATCAAACTTTAGCCACTAAAGAGATTTTATGACCAATGGACCAACAATGAAATTTCGGTTAAAGGCTGGAAGAAAAAAGCACCGATGTATGGCATGTGCAAAGGTCAGAAAGCAAGATTGGCATACAATGCGGTAAAATGTGGCTTTTACCATGACTTGGCGATACGGTCTACCGCTTTTTAAATTTCTCAACAACTTTTGGATAATCATTTAATTTTGTACAGACATTCATGGTGCCAAGATGATGCATCCCACTGACTTTGGTGATCCTGTGACTTTTCTGTTAGTGCTTACAATTAGGTTGGCATTTTGGGTTTTTAGTGTAATGTCTCATTAACTTGTTGTCATGAAATTTGGTACAGACATACAGGTTAAAATTTGTACATGTAAGTGACCGAGCGACGGGACACAGGATGCAGTGTTTGGGATTTTTTTTAAAGGCTTTTTTTATTTACCAAAATTGGGCCCTAAAAGAAAAACAAAACATAACTGAACTCAAAATACAGCAAAGTGAACTACAACAGAAACAGGTGATTTATCTGACCCCAGAAAACACAAATCTTACTTCCCTAAATGACAAACAGGGGGGAACATATATCCTGGCAGGCCAAATCAATTAAACAAAGGTAGGGTGGACAAAATAACACGAGACAAACAGTCAATATTAAATTTGACAAAAATAAACAAAATAACTCTAAACTAAACTTGCAAATGGGCTCTCACCCAAGGCCCCCCTTTTGCTGTTGCAGGTGTTTTTGTATGGTCCAGGGCCCAGGTATTGGCATTTAACAATGCTCACTGCATCATAGACATCTTTTAGGCTCAAAAGTATTTTAGTGTATCGAGACAAAGAAGAAGATGTCACATCTTTCGTGTGGTGGGGGCCAGACGTACCCAAGACCAGCAGCACATTAATTTAAAGTAAGTAAATTATATGAATGCAATTTAAGGATGATAAAACTTAGTGTTCACAATAAACTCAATGTGTGTGCTTCATCTAGAAATAATGTATGTCAAGAATTAACATGAAAACTGTATGTAAACCTAAATGAGCGAAAAGATTAAATAAAATTCAATGTGAGGGTGTGAGAGAGGGACATCACCAAATTTACCTGCAAAACGAAAAACATCCCCATCAGCATCAGCAGTAAACTGTTAAGTGCAAATTAGGAAATGTAACCAAAATATTACCAAATTCATATTTATAAGCAACATACTGTAGGACCACAGCTTCTCAATTCACCTCAGTCCTCCAGTCAATTACCTCAGTTCCTTGTTTTCCTTGTATTTATTACACATAAAAGTTAATTGCACCCCAATATTTTGCATCTCATATCAAACTCCAAAGCTTATTTAGTGACCTACTTTATTTGTGAACCTAAAATAACTTCAGTGGAAGATTGATTTGTACACAAGCGACTGCGGTTGCTAGCAGTTCTGTCGCATCCTGTGTGTTTCTCTCCTTAAGTGTGAACAAATGGGCTGTTAGTTATGAAAAGAAAGGACTGAATTTGATGTGCTGTATTTGAGTCTGAGATTGTGAAGGACGGGAGATAAGCTTTAAAAGATTTTATGACTTTATTGGTTGGACTTTTGCTCTGAAGATGCACTGTTTTCCGGGTAGTTTCCCACAATTCCCATTTCTACATGCGCCAGAGCAGCACCCTTTGTGTGGATTATATTCATAAGAACTGTACTCAGCCCTGTAATTGTGTAAGTACCATGTTTTACAAAAGATGACGCAGCCCCCAGTTAGTGGTACCTCCAGCTTGAAGGTCGTGCAGGTGCTCTTAAGAAAGCCAAATTGGCGGTGCTCATGAGTGGGAAGCTGGTGAGGGATCATGCCCTAGTCTTACTGACAGTTCTGGCGCCTGCATAGAGCCTGAACAATACATTCATTCAGGCAAGCGTTAGAGAAAAGAATGGATTAACAATAAAAAGCACTCCCACACACAGACCTCCAGCCACAGAGATGAGTCCAGGAATAAAAGAGTAAAAGGCAACAGGCTCCTTTCCCTTCAGGGGGGAGAATCGCATGAGGCTGAAAGGGAACAATACTTTAATTCAAACCAATTTATGGATCAGAAACACTAGTTTAGGTGCTGACAACATTTCCTGGTTAACAAATTTGCACTCAGACCATTATAATGGAGTGAAAATTCATCATCGCTTAAAGCTCTGAGTGATAAAAGCCCTAGTATCCGTATCCTCATTTTTATAGTAGTAAGTGAGCATTTTTACAGTAATTGTGTTTATCTCACATCAAGTGGTGAGTCAGTTATCGGTTTTGATTTTCTGTTGCTTGCTGTGATTCATCTAATTGTTTTAGGTTGTGCTTTGTCATGAAAGATACTTACCAGGAAAGGTTTGAGGTTTTTTTTCTGTGGACATGTAGTGGTTGGCTAATTGATATTTGTTGATGGCTACATACTCTATTTGTTTTAATACTGACTTTTTAATCATGATGGTAACACCTACTGTATATAGCACCAGAACAGACAGTGTCTGTACTGCACTATTGTACTGAAGAGAGAGAATTGATTGGATTTAGGTCACGGGTCAGGTTGGGACCAAATATCAGGCCCATACAGTACTCAGTCACCATTGTGGGGATGGAGAAAATCTTAAGACTGTTGAGTAAACCAAGCTAGTCTGTTAACTTAGCCCATACTGAAAGCCTAATTAGTGTCAGAAACACAAATTGAGAGCTTGCGTTTTTGGACGCAGTGATGGGAAATAAGTAAAAGGGGTCCAGAACTCACCGTATGGAGTTTTTAAAGGGACTATTTCTTCTGTAGAAAGTAGTTCCAATTAAAACTGGGACACTGCTTCCAGAAAAGCCACGTTTCTTCCAAAATTTTAAAGGTATTTTAAAAGTAAAATTCCATTCACTCCACTACACTAGGAAGAATCTCAAAACCTCAGCAGATAACAACCACACCTAACAGCATGGCTAGATACCACTAAAGGCATGAAAACATGCATATTCATGACCCCAATATCATGTTGTATGCATTTATCAATGTAGTTGCACCCTGGGGCATTTGCTAAGCACTTTTAACTCAAAGACAATTCATTCTGCAAAGGTTGGAGTCATTGTTATAATCCCAACCAGTCTTTTTTCAGATGTTTCAAAACATAAAAAATCCATTTGACACATGTACGTATGAGCTGTGACTGCTTAAATGGTTAAAATACATTTTTTGACCCATCATATTTAAGTTACAGACTTAAAACAAATGTTGGTGTGAACTACTCCATTTAAAAATACAAAGAGTGCCCTCTTATTGCAGTTACACACTGCTGGTACCAGCTCAACTCGCCTCAGCTCGCCTCTACTCAAAGCGCTTTTGGTGCCTCTGTTTTCCGTGGCAGATTTAGTACCCCCTTAATATAGCTGGTCATCATAGCGACGCCGCATGAAACTGCTGTGACGTAATCTTCAACACAAAACACACCACAGGCAATGCACCTCTCCACACATAGGATTTGCGGGTTGCCATATTAATAAAGTAGGAAAAGTACAGAGAGTATGGTTACAGTTACTATCTCGCAAATCTCTGGATTAACTATTTAAAAATGGCAGGTTTGTTCAGGACACAACCGGTGTGGTGCGTGCAATGATGATGCAGTGAAAAGTGACTATTCTCTCTGACCAATCAGTCTGCAGTGTTTTCGTGTCACCTTTTGGTATTGCCTCAGTGTGCTTGGAACCTTGACAAAGGGTGATACTGAAAAACCTACCAGATACCTGGGGCCGTATTACAGAAGGTTCCTGTCTTAAGTTAAGACGGAAGGCTGCAGGCTAACATCATCATGTTTTTCATGTATTTCTTGAATTTAATGATCTCCTTCTATCAAAGACTTGCAATAGGGTACTTTTGTTACATCAAGCCTGTACATTATTTTATATAATGAGACATTATCTAGCGTTACATCACCTACAGCCTTTCTGCTAATGAGTGTTTTGTCATCAAACACATCGGTAGAATCAATTAATAAGTTCCACCTGTTGTCATTTTGTAAATTTTGTAAAAGTGTTAAAAGAGCAGCTGTGTGGATTAAACAAGTTAGCAAACACCACCTGGTGGAAAAGTAAAAGTTAGGACAGCTTAACAGTTATCCTAAAGTTAGGAGAGTTTATTTAAGATTTTACAAAGCTAGGAAAGGAACATTGACTTAGGAACTGTTCTGTATCTGTAATGGCCTTTTTCCTAAATCAGGTCCTAACCCTTATTACCATGGTTACCAAACAGTTAAGATAGGATCTGCAGGTTAGGAACTTTCTGTAATACGACCCCAAGTACCAGATTTGTCCAATGGAAAACGGAAAAAGTCGAGGTGAGCAAGTACCATCCGGTGGTACCATCCATTTCCCACATTACTATACCAAAAATCTGCATCAAAGCCAAAACCATGGTTTCTTGATTTGACTTTTATTTGTCCAGCATTAAAGTAGAAATACTCAAGTCATACAGATGATTGCCTCATGTAATTGTAGCTGTATTTGTGCATCTTGATATGGCGAACAGGCAGCAGTAGCCAAACAATGTGATCAGATCTAAAGCAAGTTTTGGAGATGTGAAAAATGTGGCACTTCCTCTGTGATAACTTCACATCCAGGCCTGACCTCATCTGATCCTTAACTTCTGATTGGCTTGGTTTGGGGAAGAGCTCGTTCATATACCACACAGCACTAGCAACAAGCAGGTAACCATGGATACACTGCATTGGAAAACCGGCCTTTCTCCCTTCTCGTCCTCACTACCATATGTCTGTCCTTTACTTGTTTGAATCTGTTTTCTCTTGACCCTCTACTTCTAGTTTTTCTATCTTTCTCTCAGTGACACTCCGTCTTCCTCAGCATCTTGTCTGCAGCATGCACAGCGGCTGCTCAGACTACAGTGAACCAATTCCCAACTGGCAGTCACCATGACAACCAAGCCCCCCCCCCCCCCCCCCCCCGCCCCCTCCCAAAATAAAATCCAGTGCTCAGACAGTGGTGATCTGGTCGACCACTCGAGTGCTGTCGTTCATTTCAACACACTCCACCTCCTGTCTCTGACCATCTCCTTCAGGCCCGTGCCCCCGTGTCTTGGAGGGAGGCAGGAATGTGAGGAGGGTGGGCAGGAACGCAAGCGTGTGCAGGGCCGAGCAGCCGGCCGTGAGGGTGAGGCAGCGGAACAGTGTGTGTGTGAGGTTGGAACGTACAGAGCCAACAGGCACCAGGGCGGCGCCGTAGCAGATGAGCGTCTGTAGAGAGGGGACCCCGTGTCTCTCCAACGCCACTCTAACCCAGCGAGTCCTGCTTTCACCCCGACCCGAGGCGAAACCGCAGAGGAGGGGGCCGTTGCAGTCTGCTGAGTGTCCCAAGGCTGAGATCAGACACAACACAGACATGCAGTCCAGCTCCACACCCCATAAGGTCATGAAGCCCAGCACCCCGAACTGGACGGAGAGCAGGGTGAGGCCCAGCCACACAGCGACCAGCGGGTCCACAACGGCCAGCGAGGACAGACCCAACAGGAAAAGCACCGCCAGCAGTGAGTGTCTGAGGGGGGAGCTGACCGCTGCAGCGTAGCGGTCCAAGTAGACGAAGGAGGGGTTGAAGATTAGGAAGCGGACACGTGAGGTCAGTGACAGGCGTCGCAGCGTGTCCAGCAGCACTGACATCTCCTCGCGCTTGTTCTCTGTCGTCTTGGCCACCAGGAAGATCCGAGACGCCGCCACATCAGGCTCCTCGCCCTGACCGCGCTCTGCAAATATGATGTCATCGGCGAAGTGGGCGAACTGCGGCTCGCGGAGAAAGAAGTTGCGGAGTGTGTGGGTAAAGTTTTCCCGCGGCTGGTTGGTGGACTGGTTGCGATCGGACAGGTAATTCAGGTAAGCTTCCAGCCAGCTGATTCGCTGGAAGCCTTTGGCATATTCAAGCAGGTCCCGCTGCACCGAGGCGTTCCAGTAGGGGGCGCTTTCGTAGATGTAGAATCCAATGACGGGGGAGTAGGAGCTGAAGTAACGCTGCTGTGCACGAGTGTACAATACTGTCGCAGTGTCCATGGCAACCAGTGCACTGGGGTCTGAACCCTGCGTCACCTGTCGACAACAGAAACATATTTGTTACAGGTCAAAGAGTGCGTTTATGCTTCTCTTACATGTATTTTAGTGTGTCTGAAAGTGGTTGTGTACATCTGCAGTCTTGTGTAAAACTGAATTATGCAAATATATACAGTATGTGCACTGGCATCTCTTTTTCACAAGATACTAGCTGCTCAGCGACCACGGAGTGACCTAACAAACCAAGGAAAACCAACAAATGTCTTAAAGACCAACGGAGTCAACAAGGAATGATCCAGATATAGATAGATCAATGGTCTCCTAAGATTTGGACAGGAATTGAGTTTTATGGCAACTCAGTTTTAACTGCAAGAGCTACACATCTGTCAATCAAACTAAATTACATACAATGCGATTATTGTTATTTCACAAATTACAAAACTATAATTCAAAATGTCGCCACTTCTGGATCTATTGTGCCTAATATAAGGTGGTTTAGTTAGTTTATATTTATGGACATGTTTCATGCCTGTTTCATTCAGAAAATGGTGCTGTTGATAAGTTTCATTGTGGGTTATAAATAAATATTAAGCAAAGTGATGAGAACGGTCTAAATGATGGAGATGGTGTTATTTGCAGTTTGTTATAATATTGTACTAAACAGACTGGTGGCACTATAATAATGATAATAAATCCTAGAATAATGACTTGTCTATCATCAAACACAATCTGTTGGTCGATCGTGCACATTTTCGCAAGTGAACTACGACCAATGAGTCTGCCAGAGATGGCCAGAGTTTACATCAAAACAGGAAAACACTTCCTTGTGGGAATATTGCGTGATATTCACAGACTGATGCTAGTGTGTCTACACCCTAAAAAAAGCTTTCAGTAGTCTGCAAAAAACATTTGCCTTATGAAACTGTTTACTCTTCTTCAACTCTTTTACCATTTTAAGTGTTTTACCTGTCTTTTCTCCATTTTCAGTGCTTGATGGTACTCTAGCTATGTGTTTGTGATGCTAACATCAAATAAAAGAGTGAGATGTCTGCATACGCGCTTGCATGTGCAACATAATTACATTGTTGTATCTTGCTTGTTGTATTTAGGCCTCACCTGCAGGAAGCCCATCAGTCCGAAGGAGATGTAAACCAAATACAGCAGAACCACAAAGGGTTTGACATAGGTGTTAGTGATCCAGTCTCCATAGCAACGCCTCACACACCCCAGCAAAAGGTGAGAGTCCTGAGGGTCCGTGTTAACCGTGGAATGTGTGAGTGGATGTGGATGTGTGTGTGTGGAGTTAGCCACATTGCTGTGTGAATGCGCGGCGATGTTGTTCGCCGTATGTGGGTGTGTGTGTGCATGTGTGTGAGTTAGGTCAGGGTTTGCTGCGTGATCGTGACTGTGATCGACCTCGTTTGGTGGGTTGGTTGTTTGAGCCTCATCCTGATAACGAGTGTACATTAGACACCTGTACCAGGCCGGTTTGGAGTCCAGCCGGTCGGGTTTGGGGACTCGCCGGCAGAAGCAGCCATGTCTGTACCCGGTCTCTAAGTATCCCGTGAACACCAGACAGGAACTGTAGAAGGACAACATGTAAACATAGCCAATTGTGACAGCAAAGGCGGCGGTGCGGCAGAAGAGCCGGACAGCCTCCATGTTGGTGAGCGGCGAGGCGGCCAGGCCCAGGGTCATCAGGTGGAGCATGGTGGAGCCGGAGAACCGCAGCATGACGTCCTCAAAGACGCTCGCCACACGCTCCTTCACATGCTGGTCCTCCCGAGTTCGCCTCCATGACGACAGCATCTCAAAGGAGCCGAAGAGCCCGTGACCTGATGGGAAACAGAAATAGGAATGTAAGCTGAATGATAAGCGATTCTGGAGAAATCCAACACATACAAATACAACGACACGCCAATTAACGTTAACGTTAGCTAAGTTGTGGTTAGCAAATTGTCGCTACAGTTGGCTGCTGTGAAGCTAACATGCGGAGAAGATAAGACTGGAATCATGGCTGGAAGAAGCGTGGCATGGCTTGGTCTGAGATATTTTGTTTGTTACCCATTTACAGAGGCAGGGCTGTGATCAAACATTGGATTTTTTTTCAGCGCACACACAGAACAGACAGCTAGCAGTAGATATTCACTGACAAATATTATATATATATATATATTAGAAATGCCTACTCTACCTTTTAGGGCTGTACATAACGATTATTTTTCAAGTGGATTAATCTAATGATTATTTTCTCATTTAGTTGATTAATCTAACGACTAATTTTGTGTATTCTAAAAAAAAAAAGTTGCCTATTACTCAATTAACAAACTGATCCAAAATAAATTTCAAAAACATGTCTAATCAATAAATCAATATTTTATTCAATCATCCTGATGAAGCACATTAGAATAATGACAATAGCAGCAAATCTTAAAATGAATCAAATTTCCACGTCACTGATGTGTTGTGATAATAACATAAACATTAATTAGGCTACTTTACTTAAAATTTTAAATAAAGTAAATTAAATTAAAGTTTCTGACATGGATTTATTTCAATATTGAGTAATGCAGTATGATAATCAAATGTATTTCGGCATCAGTGTGGGGCAAAGAAAACAACTGAAACAATTCACAGACTGTACTGTTATTGTTGTCTGTAATGTAAGATTCAGCTGTTTTCTTGCTCATACGTCGCCGTTAAATAAACAGAAAATATGAAATGGCCGAACGTTAGATGGCACGTGGTGTAACGTTACGTTACCGTGACAGCAGTGGGGCAGAAATTACTTACACTAATACTTAGAAAATACATTTTAATGGACTCCGTGCTGACTTTTTTATGTGAAGATGAAACCAGTTTTCATCTTGTTGCTGCTGTTTACATTCACCCCAGACACAAATTCAAAAATATTCACTGCAGAATGTTCTGGGTGTACACTTGTATGTATATAAATGGCTGTATACATAGTCTTGTTTTAATTTATTTAATATGTTACCGTAATTTAATATACACTTAATAATCTATTAAGTTCTGTGTGGGTAGCATGAAGGGCCTACAAATGTTCTTTTATAAAACCTTGTGTATAATGATAAATAAACTTCCTTGATACCTTGAAAACCCAAACGACGATGTTTTCCTAACCATAACCAAGTAGTTTTGGTGCCTAAACCCAACCAAACTGCAGCCGCTTCACATCGTCAACAAAGCCTCTGGCGCTTAACTTCCCATTGGGGTCACAGAATCTGATAGGTCACACATTTTGGTGACCGGCCCCACAGAGCTAAAAGGGGAGTGACTATCCTCTACAGAAACACGACTACAAATGAATGCGAATGTTTCTCAGTGTCTGGTGGGTGATTAAAGGCAGCCATTTGCTACACAATAGCCATAAGCATCTTTGAGGAGGTTTAACAATATATTTCCCTTCTTTAAAGAATACGTGCTATTGATCCCACAGACATCAGAAGAACTTAAGCTGCTAAAAATACCTTCCAACTGCACACAGACACAAAACTCATTTATTGGTTTTGTGTGGCGGAGGAGGAAAAAATGTTGATTTCCTCAAAAACACAGTTATCCCTTTCCATTTGCAATGACACGAAAACTAGTTTCCATTCCAACCAACTAGTTTCCCTTTGCTTGCTGTGATTGCTCCCTGCTTCAATATGTTCATTTTGAGGAATCACAACTTTGATCAAGGAAGTGTAATAACTCAGCCTGCCTGCTTTTTAACAGTCCTCTCTGCATAATGTCACACCTCAATCCTGTTTGAACTGGAAATATGTGAAATGACAGATCTAAGACACCATGGAAATGCATTTTTTGTTAATTCAATTCTAGTTGAGAAATTGGAACAGGTTCCCCGTTCTCGATACAGATAATATGTAATTAAAACAAATTTAAAATATTAAATTAAATACAAAGCTTCCATTCTGAATAGATTTAAAGTATTTTAATGCATTTTAATGCTGTTTTCAATAATACACATCAATTTGAGGTGACTGAGTGCACCACCTGCATGTCCAGTCTCTCGTACATGCACATACATGTTTAGTTACGTGCGGCAAATGGTTTTTAATGGTTTCCTATTCTGTGGTTACCATGGCACCAGTGAGTCACCAGTATCATATCCCCCCCACCCCTCCAACCCCCAAGTGACCTCACCATGGCAAAACACTTAGCACCTTAGCAGAGACATAAAGCACCGACACTTCAGGCGTGGGTGCAACTGAGAAAGTCTGCAGACCTGTGATGTGTGTGCGCGTGCGTGCGTGTGTGTGTGTGTGTGTCTGTGCGTATTTGAAAGAGGGAATTAGACAGTGACTGACAGTGAAAGAGGTGGGGTGGTGTGAGGGGGGGGTTAATGTTGCAGAGAGAAGATGAGAGCAAAAAGAGGCTTTGGACAGCACTTAGCCAAGGATTTTGATATTTACCAGAGCTTGAGACGAGCTAATGTGCTTTCATGGACACACACACACACACACACGCGAGAAAATACTCATAAGATAAGGTCGTGTCATTTTGCTTGAACCATTTCAGTGTCTTGATAATAATGCTGTGTCATAAACTTCAAACTGTTCGTTATGGAAAGCGCGACTACAGTTTAGACATACAGTACAAACATGCAGCCATGCAAACACAAGGGCTGGGTATAGTTTGTACATTTTTAATATGTACATACATACATAAATGTGGGTGGTGATGGTACAGTGGATAAGACACATGCCTTTGGTGTGAGAGGCCCGGGTTCAATTCCCCACTGTGACACATCCGCCAATGTGTCCCTGAGCAAGACACTTAACCCTAGTTGCTCCAGAGGTGACATACTTAGCAATTGTAAGTCACTTTGGATAAAAGCGTCAGATAAATGTAGAAAACAGTATCACTATGATACCTATTTTGGCAACAATACCAAAACACTTTCTTTCAATATTGATGAGTTTGAGGAATACATACATATATTTAAAGAAATTAACATTTTATTTTTAACTATTTACAAAGTAAGCTAAACTTCTTAAATGCATTTGTAGTTCAAGCCTGTAAAGTAACTTGACATAGAATCAAGCAGTCTCAACTTAAGGGAGGAAAATTAGGAAGATTTAAATTAGGTTTTTTTTTTGATGACAGATATACTGTATATTAGCACTTTGTCCAAAAACGTTTTCATAATCAATTTACGCCATTTTAACAAAAATCAATTAATGGAACAAGCTATTTTTAGCTATTTCCCCCATCGACACATCAGTTTGTCTTTTGTATAATAAGCACACATGTGAAAAAAAATTATGTCTGATTCTGGAAGAGAAAAGATGCAAAATATCCAAAATCCACATATTACATACATTAAATATAAACTGTTTTTCTCCCCCTTCCTCTCCTTCATACTATCTCATTCTGTACTGTGTAATCACATCCATCTTTCTCTCCTCACACGTCCTCCCATTTGCCCACTTTATCCTAAAAAATCCCCCCCTGCCCACCTTCCGTCCCTCTAACTACAGTTTAACTTCATTTTCTACTTAGAGAATCCTTCTCTCGGCCCCCATTCAGAGTGATATTTCATCGAACTCTGTCTCTATTCCCCCGTCTCGTCTGTTCTCCCTACAGTTATTTTAAGCCTAACAGCAGCCTTTCCTCCTCCACATTACAGAGTAATTATGGTATAGACTACATGTGAGTGTGAGTGGTTACATACAGCACGCCCTACAGTATTTACCATGTATGCACTCAAGATAAAATCCAAGTAGGCGTTCACACATTATCCATTTTATACATTTTCATTTTTCTCCTAGTTTGTTAATCTCTTTTTCTTTCTCTTTGTTCTTGACTTGCTTAAACTACTAACTCAACTCGGTAAACTCTGATAACATTTTAAAGCTTCTATTCCACATGCAAGCTGCATAATTGGTCACGCTGGACTGCTGAAACTGTCACTGTGGCTTCCAGAGTGGAGATTGTTTGTCATCCTGCTGATTTTTGACAAAGTTAATTCCTAAATCATTATCAATGTATTTGTGAATAAAAACAATTATTTGCCTCAAGTTCTTCACAGATGCAAGTGTGTCTCTTCTTTTAAAACACTGCTGCAGTCTGTAGACTTACTTTCTCATTAAATAATTTTATCTCCTATAATAAACTAAACATGTCCAGCCTCTAGATTTGCAGGCTTGCCCCTTGTGGACTTTGGTTATAAGTACTGTGACGTCAAGTCTGCAATATTTCTATGAATCATGGTTAATCTGGACACCCTGGCCCAAGTAAGTGGATAGGGCATAGGCTGTGATCAATCCGCAGTGCAGTTTCTTCATTGCTTTATAAAATTCTGTGTTTCTGCTATAATTTACATCCATTGAGTAACACTTGGCCACTGACTCAGCTTTTGGTGCCACAGCAGTCCCTGGTCTCATGGTGCCTTACATAAAATGAAGCTATCGAGTTTTGCACAGTGAGATATACAGATTTTATATTTTGGAAAAATTGCTACTTGGTATCAGCAGGTACCCTAACTGAGGTAGCAGCTACCCTAATGAGCATAGTCTCTGTTAACATGTAGTATGTACATGTATGTAGCTGAGCAAGCATCTCTGACATGTTTTCAGTCATATGAAGACAAGTTAAGTGCGGTTAGTGGTCGAACAACGTATAGAATTGGGCACACCAGCTGACATCTTTCCTTGACGACATTCGTGGTGTTGCACTCATTTGTATGTCATACTATATGTACAACAAGTAACAAATGTAATTTCATTATATGTGAAAGTAACTGTGAAATAAAAGAGAGAGTTTGAGAGAGAAGTTCGAGTGTTCGAAATGTTGAATTGCTGTTTCATAAATTTACAACACTGGGGGGGGGCAGATGCACTTCCGAAATCCAGCAAGCCTAGTCTAGAACTCAATTTAGTCCTTTATTAAAGTAAAAAAGTGTTAAACCTTCTGGTTCCAGCTCTGGATTTGTTCCAGACTCCTATTGAAGAACCATAACTTAACTTACTTTTTTCAGAACCTTTGGATGAATTTTCTGCCTCTAGTCAAAAAATGTATTGTTAGTGCCATCACCCTACTCCTCAGTAAGCCAAGTTCATGCCCCACCACTTGTCAGTCATTTTGATTACCTGTCTACTTTGAAATGGCATTCAGCCTGAGGCTCACACGTACTGAAAAAGCAGACGGCGAACACAGGCAGTCTGTGATATAAAAGCAATGGCACTGCTCACCGTAGCTCCCACATCCCGTGTGTTGGCTACACTATTCTTTGATTTCTCTGAGCCTTAAACCATCGTTGTTTGTTGTTTTTTCCCCCCTAAATTTTACCCGTGTTCAGCAACCATGCACTCTCCAAAAAGTGTCCATCCAAAAATGTCCAGACTAATGGAGGATGAAGACATGGACATGCAGAGTTAGGGTAAGATATATCTTGTGTGTTTGTTATTTTACTATCAAATGTATTTGTTTTAAACCTACCAAGCATGACGAAAGGGATTCCCAGGTACGTAGAGTTGTAGGTGGCCCCGGTCAGGTTGAGTATCCCAGCAGCAGTGAGGCCTGACAGTGTTATTGACAGCAGAGCCAACAGACCCAACCAGGGTTTAGACCTCACACAATCCCTCATAGAGCAGCAGAGGACGGCCAGCACACCACACACTCCCAAGCTGGCCAACAGGGGACGGCGTGCCAGAACCGAAGAGAACTGGAAGTCTGTCCTCAGAGAAGAGGAAGTGGAAGGGTACAGCCCCAGTTTAGGGTGCAACGCTGCAAATTGCTGTAACTCAGCACAGAAGGCCTTTTCCCATTGGCTGGCCACCCGGTCCATCAGGCTGCCGCGGGCTTGGAGGTAGTAGGTGAGCTGCAACGCCCTGGCAGAACGTACACCTTCTCCCCTGGCTCCTGTCCCCGGACCACGTACCGCCCCGCTGGGACCCCAGCCCTGCACGCCACCCAGTTGGTGGCCAATGTACGCCTGCCTTCCATCTGCCAGCTGCGTGATTGGGTACCGCAGGACTGGGACGGATCGGTTGGAGGCGCGAGCAGACTGGATCTCCTCCATGGCACGGATGATGTCGTCAATGATGCAGACGTTCTTGTCGTCGGGGAGACAGAGGTAGGAGAAGGAGTAGTTGAAGCTGTTGAAGCCTGTGGCTGGGACCATCACCTGCATCTGGTAGATCCGCCTGTGGAGCTGTGTGCAGAGAAAACACACCCACATGCAAACACACACAAACAATAAAGAAGTTAGCTTGCCAGTGGCCCAATTTTGGTACAATAAACTGGCGCAAAAAAAAGTTTTTCTCTGTGCTGCACATCAAAACTCTGTATGCTGAATAAGGACAGATATGTGGGGGAGTGTGTGTGTGTGTCTTACTCGACAGAGTAACAATAGTGGTCTCAGAGTCCTTCTCTGTTTCTATGGCAAGAGCACAACAGTGCCAGCATCCACAGTGCTGGTTACTAAGCAACAGGCCTGATGCCAGTCTCTGCCACAGCGAATATGGGCAGAGCTGTCTCCCGTCTCAGACTGCTGCATTGGTTTGGGAGAGAGTGGGGGTGGGTGTTGTTGATTTATTTTTAAAGTTCCTTCCTTGCATTGTCAACTGTTGTCAATCTGTCTTTATTATTGTTAGTAATTTCCTCGTCTGACCTTAAAATTCCTGATTTAAGTGCCTCAGATCAAAAATGAACTTTAAAGATCCAATCAGTAATCTTTTTAGCATTTATACTCACATACGTAATTTAATTCAGATTTTTAATGAAATCTATAAGCATTTTGTGATTTTTAAAGCAACATTATTTTGGGATTTTGCGTTGTAACTATTACAACAAATTAAACAAATCCCTGTGAATTCAGTGCTCTTGCAATTTTGGCCAATCACTGCACCTTTTCCCGAAATTTGACCTATCATCGCCATTTCCTGCCAAATGTTGTCATACGTCAGCTTGTCATTTCCTTGTTTAGTCGCAGCAGACGTGTTATATCAACATCTCACATTTGCCAACAAAAAAACAACAAAAAGGGGCCGGCTCTTCTTTACCAACTGTTTTACAAAACGTGCAGTATTGTGGTTGAACATAAAGGAAATCGTGATTGACCGACAGAGTCGCAGAAACGCATGGAAGACGTCAGACGAGACAAATCACTGTGACACAGGCCGTTGAATCCTGGTCAGTTGCAAGAGCTGAAAGAATCAATGTAAGTTGGTTCAATTGAAATCCCGGATTTTTATCGCAAGAACAGTGTAATGCTTTATGGCACCATAGCACTTCAGCAAAACTGTTCAGCAAGCAAGCTATAAGAAGTAGCAAAGAGTATATAATGTAAAGTGTAAGTTCTTTGGACAAAGCTAGCTCTGTATTCTCAGATGGATATCATGGCAGAGTCAGCAAAGAGACCAAAGAAGATGTCGGAGGAAGCGAGGAAGAGAATAGTACAGAGTGACCAAGCACGAGTAAATACCGGACTGGCTTTTACTCGTTGGATGCAAGGATGCAAGACAGATGCTGAGCTGGCCTTCTTGCTGTTGGACTAGAAATTAATAACTTATTAGCTGGCTTGCTGTGTCTTGTGTTGTTGCACCTGCTTGATGTTTGGCTGTGTTAGCAAAGTTGTCAAATCCACCAGAGGTTTAACAGACATAGGTTTAGCCGCTTGCTATAAATCTCGAGTTGATGTTAGCAAACTTACTAGATAACACACTCGGACATTGGTAACGTCACTGTAAGTGCTCTTGCGTCAGCTGCAGTTATCTTTTGTTGGATAGCTTGCCACCAAGTTTCAAGCAACAGTATGCTGCTGCAGGTGGACAGCGGCGCCGGTGTAGTGCCGGAGCCGGGCTTGCGGACAACCGAACCGGGCTTAGCAGCTTCTATGGACATAACGACAGAAGAAGATGTTGACGGAGGACGATAAGTAGGGAAAAAAAGTGACCAAGCAAGAGCTTCGTGAAATAAAAGACTGCAAGACAGACACCAAGCTGGCATTTTTTCTGTGTTGGACAAGTAAGAAACATTGCAGTGTCTTGTGTTGTCGCACTTGCTTGATGTTTGGCTGTGTTAGCAAAGTTGGCAACGGTGAAATACCATGGGTGCCAAATCAAACACAGAAACAACAAATCTTACATAATGTTGATCAAAACTGAAAATCGAATAATATTAATAACAGTCTGGACCAAAGTGATGGACTGACCAACAAACCAACACTGTCATCCATAGAACCATGCTGCTATCTGACTAAAATCAATTGTTGGAAATTTCATCATTGCCTGTCTGAGCCTGTTTGGTGACAACTTTTTTGGAGTCTTGTGGATGACTGGATACTATGTGACACTGCAGTTTTATCAGAACAAGGAAATTATATCTCTGAGCAACAGTGTCAAAGGTAAGGCTGTGTTCTGACTTTTTCTAAATCAAAGAGCAAAAACATCTTTTGACTCACAATGCTGCACAGCCACTAATTAATCATAAAAAGGATGATATCTATCATAGAAGAGGAATCTTCACTGACAGAAGCGTGAATAGACCAGAATCCAGTGCAGTCAATGGGTGTCACTCAAGTGGAAATCCTGTCTGGCTATCACTGCTATCTCTCTCTCATGCAACAAGTTCAGACCCAGTCTCACAGGGTTGTTCAATGGCATTTTGGGAAGCGAAGGAACTCACAAACTGATGCACATGTAGACAAGACAGTCTGGAAGCAAGTGGAGACACAAAAAAGGTAAAATACAGTCTTGAACCTCACAGATTATATGTAACAGTGTAAGATTATGTAACAGTGAGTTTTTCCTTTCACAGCACTCTCTTTTATGCACCAACGTGTGTCTCCCTCTCTCTCGCAGCCTGTTCGCAGTAAATGATGCAGAGCGCTGTCTAACTGTGGCAGTCCTCTATGGACTAAGACTTCGTTCTGGGTTTAGCCAACGTAAAGTGGGTCACAATAACCATATTTGACAGACACACAGAAACATGACTGGGTATGTACGAACTCTCAGGCCTATTAGTCGTCAAGTCAGCCGCATACATTCATAAAATCCTTGGGCTAATTGCTCTAGGGGTGTCAAGCTAATACTCATAAATCCATTTAGGAATACCAACACAGAGACAGAGGCCTCTGAGCTACAGCTAAATCCACTTTGTAATTAAAATGCTTTGATTTGAAATGGGACCATGTTGTTCTATTTAATGACTATCAATCACTGGGAATGCGGAGGACAGCTTGCATTGTACATGAGGACAGCTTGCATTGTACATGTGATCTTGCCGGCAGACAATGACCTTTACCTGAGAGTGTGTGTGTGTGTGTGTGTGTTCTGAATGTGACTTAGGATTGACTTGTTTTTAAAGTTGGACTCTGCAGATGCAGTGTGGCTTTATTTTATGCATCAAGGGCACATAATATAAATGGTCAAATATTCTACCTTTACAGTGTACAAATGGGTTTCAAAGCTTCTGAGAGAGCTTTTTAAATTATCAAATGGTGTCCTTTATTGTAAGCATGTGTTCTGGTTGTTTTTTGTCTTTCTATATTTAATTTTAACTGTAGGCTATTTGAGAGGCTTTTAATTGTGTTACTTAAGGGCACTTTTTAATTATTCCATAGGCTATTAGTTTATTTTTCAGGGTCTGAGACCATTGCAGTGCATTGGCTTTTCAGAAATGTTATGTGCATACCTTTAATATAGTGTCCAGATGAATAGGGTCCAGCACACTTCCCTTTCGGCTGGTAACAATCACGCGCCCATAGCGGCCCGGTGTTTGCAGGTCAGAGTAGAGCGCGTGCTTGGAGCGGTTCACGGGGAACAGGCTATCCACCAGGTTGCCCTCTATCTTGGCCAGGCTGTGCTTGGGCGCGAGCAGGCTCTCCACGTCGTCCTCCACGCGGTACCGGCTGAAGCTGGCCCCCAGCAGGATGGAGAGGAGTACCGGTGCCGAGGCGAAGAACACCGGGTGGCTCGCCACGAACCGACCCAGCGCGTGGAAGGAGGTCCTCAGGCCCGCGTGCAACACCTGGCGCAGCATCCTAGCGCGCGGCCGCGGCTCGAGCCTCTCCCACCGACCGGAAAGCCCCGGAGCACTGACGAGCATCAGGGACTGCCGGACGCATCTATGGGCTGCGTCGCTGTCCGTCTAGGTGAGGAGAGGTGACGCCGGGTGGTGGGAGGATTAGTCCCCCGGAGCAGGAGGTCACCAGCCGGAGAGAATCCAACCCTCCTCCGGTCACAGGTGCGCCGCTTTCCCGGGGGTTCGCTCATCCGCTGGAACAGCACAAAGGACAGAAAGCTGCTAAATGATCCAGCATTTCTCTGCTCTGCGGTTAGAACGCATATTGATAGCATACTTTGCATTTAATAGCCACTACCCTACTGCGTTGAGTGCCACCTGCAAGCTGCATGGCTCTGTGCGCAACAGAAAAATCGCAGAGCCAAAGTGTCTATTAGATTAACTAACGATTTCATTAGTTTTGTTTGTGCACTCGAACAGGTTGCAGAGAACCCTGTACACCCTGTGGTTGCATTAAACTGAAGCCAGACTGTACATACCTAAACATGAGAACTGGGGGGACCGACCCGGTGATGACGGAGATCAGACCAAGATGTTGTAGGCTACTGCCGGCTGTCTGTGCGTCCAGCTCCACCCTACATCACCGAGTCACCACACAACCTGATGGGTGGTCGAGGTGGGTGGGTCAGTGGATAGGTGCGAGTCGCAGGATAGTTGACGCGGTGTGCATGCACCGGGGATGCCGGTAGATCTCTTTGTCAAAGCAGCCTAATCTGGGTTTCCTCTGCGGCAGAAGGCTTTCTGTCGTCCGTCCTCTTCTCCCCTCATCGCCCCGGTGGTTTGACGGAGCCCCTGTTCGTTCGCCACCGGGTTGCTCTCACAGCAGCGACTGCTCTCCTCGTCGGGAAGGCACGTCACTAATTACCGGCTTTCATACAGTTTCTCTCGCTCTCTCTCTCTCTCTCTCGTGTCTTTAGAGCCGCTCTCAGTCCCCCTCTCTGCCCCGCCTCTCGCCGTTCCGCGCCGCTACAATGCAGAGAAATCAACACAGTGAGTGGCAGCGTGTGTGTGATATCTAGGAATTTAACATAGTGCTGTCAGCATTCATGTAAAAGTGATAATGCTGCTTTATAGGGTATTCTCTATGATATCTCAATAAAGTAAAGATGTTTTTCCCCCCTATAGGCCAGTGTCGTTTTTAAAGACAGAAAATCGTCAAATGTATTTCAGAATTATTGTTTGATAGACTTTTCTCATAACATATGAAAAGTATGTTTGTATGTTGAAAAGTATGAGTATTATGACAACATAGTTGTCTCTTTTTCCTGGAGGATAAAATGCACATTTCATTCTTTGACATCTGTGCAGCTGGTTGTATTTTGCTCATATGATTATATACATACATAATATTAAGTGTCCTTAGCCTTGCTGCAGATGCATTAAGCATCTCTTAGGTTTTGCTGTTGTGTAGCACGTTGCCATAGAAACCAGACAAATTACTTTCTTTTTCACAAGCCTTGGTTCCCATGGCAATAGTGATGCCACCCATCCCCCCAAAAACACTTACGTACACAGATAGTGCACCACCCCACATTACGTACACACACACACACGCACACACATACCAACACACACCTGCTGACTCCCAATCTGCTTATGGTGTGGAGGTGTTTGACACAGTGGCATTAAAGTAAGAGAGAGAGATAGAAAAAGGGGGGTTGGGGATGGAAGAGAGAATAATGAGTGCAGACAGACTGAGATCACACCCCTCCTGTCTGTCTGACTGTCCGTCTGTCTGTCTTTGTATTCAGACTCATGAAATCAAATAGCCAAACAGCATTTTGTCTGTCTGCATGGGACCACTAATGGCTTCTTCCTCTCCCCAGATATCGTAAATGACGAAACGCTGTTTGGATTAAAAACAGACACAAAAACACTTTTCTTTACTTCCTCTACATGACAGTACGCTCAGATTCATAAAAAGGAAAATGTTTTACAAAGGCATTGTATCTTTTAAACTAAAATTTTATTCTACGAAGATGTTTTAAGTGATTGTCTTTTTAAAATTTCTGTGATGACTAACAACTCATCAACACGTTACCAGGTATATCAGAAAAATGCATTTGTTACAGTTAAAAACTTCCATGTCCTTTTAATGTACCTGACAAAGTCATGAGAGAAAACGTTTTAAAGTGCACTAGGGTGTCCTTTCCATGGAGAATAAGTGTTAAAGAGCCCTCTAAGGTGCCCTTCCAGTAGAGTATAAGTGTTAAAGAGCTCTCTAGGGTGCCCTTCCAGTAGAGTATAAGTGTTAAAGAGCTCTCTAAGGTTATCTTCCAGTGGAGTATAAGTGTTAAAGAGCCCTCTAGGGTGCCCTTCCAGTAGAGTATAAGTGTTAAAGAGCCCTCTAAGGTGTCCTCTAAGGTGTCCTTCCAGTGGAGTATAAGTGTTAAAGAGCCCTCTAGGGTGTCCTTCCAGTGGAGAATAAGTGTTAAAGAGCCCTCTAAGGTGTCCTTCCAGTAGAGAATAAAGTGCAATTTATACTTCTGCGTCAAATGGACAGCGTAGCCTCTCCGTAGCCCCGTACCCTACGCCATCGCCTACGCCGTTGCCTGATGTGCACCTCCTCAAAAATGTAACTACACGTTGAGGCGACAGGGACCGTAAGAACTTTGATTGGTTGGCTGGGTAGCCTCGCAATACCTCAGAGCCGACAGGAAATGCCCCGTGCTTTGAAGTAAATTTTACTAGTGGCCAGACCAGTGGCTGTAACACAGGAAATCAATATATTTGTCACAGCCTGAGCGAAATGACATATAACTGAAATAAATGAAATAACAGACGCACGTATACAATTTTACCCCCATTCACGTTAGCCAGCAGATGACGATACAGTGGACGCTGTAGTGCTACCACCACCACCAATTAGCGTTTGGCGGTGTAATTGCAGAACGATGGAGACACCGACGCACAAGTATAAATGCCTGGCTGATAAAGGCCCATTTATACTCCTGCGTAGGGTCTGCGTGCGTACTTACGCCGTAGGCTACGCACGTAGCCATGCATTTATACTTGTGCATAGGTCTGTCCATCATTCTGCAATTACACCCCCAAACACTAGTCAGCAGTAGCGCTACAGCGACTACTGTGTTGACACTAACTTCCGGTTTAGCGCTCCGCTAATGTAAATGGGGGTAGAATTGTATATGTGCGGCTGGTGTAGCCTTTTCAAATGTTACCGACAGAATGGATCACATTCTGATAGCGAAACGAGTCATTTCGCTCGGGTTGCGACGGTCAAATATATTGATTCACTGTGTTACAGCTAGTAAACAGCTAGTAAATGTTACTTTAAAACGTGGGGTACTTCCGGTCAGCTTGGAGGCATTGCGAGGCTACCAATCACAGAGCTTACGGTCCGCGTTGACTCGACGTGTAGTTACATTTTGAATGAGGTGCACGTCAGGCGACGGCGTAGCCTCTGTGTAGCCCTGTATCCTATGCCGTCACCTACGTCATCGATTTGACGCAGAAGTATGAATTGCACTTAAGAGTCCTCTAGGGTGCTCTTCCAGAGAAAACATGAACAATCCAAAAACTGCAGAAACAACAGGGTACAGGCAGGGAATGACGAGCAATAACCACAACGAGGGACAGAGCGTATACACGCGACAATGACCGGACAAGGACTGTGGGAAACAAGCAAGGATATATACACACACAGGGTTAACAAGCTGGGAGGAGACACACAGGTGAGGGACATGAGGCCAACGAGACACAGGCAGGCAGAGAGAGCAGGGGGAAACAGAGAGACTAGCGGGCAGGCAGATTACTGAGGGGGGAAAAGACAAAACACAAGTTACTCAACACTAAACATCAGAGTAATATAAATCAACTAATACAAGCAGACAGATTACAAATAAACTAACACCAACAAGGAACACAGATAGAAGCTAAGGTTAAACAGAACTTGGGCAAAACAACACAAAACCAGAAATAAACACTTAAGACATGAACTAGAGGTACAGGACTAAGAACTAAGATATGAGACAAGACAGATACTAAGTAATTTAAAGATGTGGATGAATAATAATAATAAAGGCTACACAGAGACTAGAGCAGAATGAACAAAATCAGATTAATTAATGAAACTGGCAGAGAACATAAATAGACAAACAGACAGAACTCAAGCATGATGGTACAGAAACTAACACATGAGACTGGAACAGAACTGAAATCAGGAAAATACCAAAACACCACTAAACACCAACTGACGGATAATAACCAGACAAACAATAACATCAGGTAGAGGACGCACACTAAAGGTAGCAAGCAAACTAAAACTAAGTCTAAACTAACAGCACAGCAAAAGGGATTCTAACTAATAAGACAGGGTGGCTAAGGGAGACGAGATAACAGAACAACACAGATCTGAACACAGATCACAAAGACTGGATACAAGACCACAGACTATATAACAGATACCTAACTGATAAATGAATAAACTCAGAACTAAACGGAACAGATGACAGGACTAACCCCAAACCCTCAGAAAAAAAAACCCAAAAACACAGCACTCAGGACAGGATTGTGACAAATATACGAGACAGTAAAACGATGAGACATTGAATAACAAGATATTTCACTCATCACTCCAAAGACCACTTCGACATTTCAATTCAAGCAATAAAGATCTCAAAGAATGGAAGCAAGTAATGCTCATAACAACTGTCTAGAGGGTCTTGAGCAAAGCATTCACTCCACAACTGATTGAACAAACAAAGAGTGAACATACACATGTGGGTTAACCAGCATGCTGAGAAAATGTGTCAAAGTGTGTCCGTGACAAATGTTTCCTAGAACAAGTTAGATAAAAGATAAAAAAAACATTTGCATGCATGTGCTTTTGCGTGCTCTAATGCATTATTCAATTAAGCTTCAATTAGCCTTTAATCCACCATTACCAGTCCAGTGAGAGACAAGTGGTGAAGGAATGAATGAGTAAGTGTCTCCCCGGGGAGGAAGGAAGAGCAGAATAGAAAATGAGCAGAGATATAGGGGGCCTGGGGCAGTTTCTGATAACAAAAGTACTAATTAGTGTCGCTAAAGGATTTATAGAAATCAGAATAGTGTGTGTGTAGGATAGAAAGAAGAAAGGTGGAGAGAATGAATGGAGTCCGTTGATATCGTGTCCGTTTTTGCAAGGCTATTTTCTGCACCTACAGAGGTGAAGGAGGGAAAGAAATGGGGAAAATCCTCCAGGGGTAGAAAACTGCAGCCAACAAATACACTTACACATTTCAGACACACACACACACACACACACACACACACACACACACACACAGGAGGATACAAGATGGACAGCTGAGAGAAATTGAATGGACAGCAAAGAGGAGAGCACCTCTTATGACTTTACTGTGGACAGGCTGTCACTGTGTGTGTCCGGATTTGGGCTCCACATTCATTTGCTTTTATGTTTGTCTATCTGCATGACATCCGCCCTTCATAATTAAAGAAAGCTAAATGGATATATGAACGCAGAGTTGGACATTCATGAATAAGTCTTCTCTCTTTTAGCTCATACTCCTTGGAACCTGCTCACCCTCCTTGTCTTCCACCCCTCCCATCCCCCAATCCATCTGTTTTGGTGGAGGCCATCCATTAATAAAGAGTCTGTCCTTTCATTTCTATTCCCCCTCCTTCTGTATTATTTATTTATCCATCTATCCACAGTTATGGTGAGCGCATATGGTTGCCGGATTGGGATGCAGCAGATCGGCATTCTTCTAGGATGGAAACTTCACTCACTATAAGAAATTAAAACCATATCACCCAACCTCTTTCTCATAAATGCTGTTCCAGACATGGAAACATATAATCCACTAAAGTTTGAATATGAATATGAAATATTTAAATACTTAAATCAGAATACTGTAAGCTTTCTGATAACCACTTACACTGCCACAATAACAATTAGCACAGGCTCTAATTGGCAGCGCCTCTAATTTAAATG